GTGTGTGTGAGTGTGAGTGCGTGTGTGAGTGTGTGTGAGTGTGAGTGCGTGTGTGAGTGTGTGTGAGTGTGAGTGCGTGTGTGAGTGTGTGTGAGTGTGAGTGCGTGTGTGAGTGTGTGTGAGTGTGAGTGCGTGTGTGAGCGTGAGTGTGTGTGAGTGTGTGTGAGTGAGTGTGAGTGTGTGAGCATGAGTGTGAGTGTGCGTGAGTGTGTGTGTGTGAGCATGAGTGTGAGTGTGCGTGAGTGAGTATGTGTGTGTGCACATGTGTGTGTGTGTGTGAGCATGAGTGTGAGTGTGCGTGAGTGTGTGTGTGTGAGCATGAGTGTGCATGTGTGTGAGCATGAGTGTGCATGTGCATGTACATGTGTGTGCATGTGTGTGTACATGAGTGTGCATTTGTGTATGAGTGTGAGTGTGTGTGTACATGTGTGTGCGTCTGTGTGCATGTGTGTGTACATGAGTGTGCATGTGTGCATGTATGTGTGTACATGTGTGAGCATGAGTGTGCATGTGCACGTACATGTGTCTGCGTGTGTGTGTACGAGTGTGCGTGTGTGTGAGCAAGAGTGTGCTTGTGTGTACGTGTGTGTGTGCATGTGTATGATCATGAGTGTGCATGTGTACATACATGTGTGTGCGTGTGTGCATGTGTGTGAGTATGCATGTACGTGTGTGATCATGAGTGTGCATGTGTGTGTACATGTGTGTGCATGTGCGTGTAATGTGTGTGCGTGTGTACATGTGTGTGTGTGAGATCGTGTATGTGCGTGTGTGTACATGTGCGCGATCATGAGTGTGCATATGTGTGTGTGCACATGAGTGTGCATGTGTGTGATCATGAGTGTGCATATGGTTGTACGTGTGTGAGCATGTGTGTTCATGTGTGTGAGCATGCATATGTGTTTGTGCATGTGTATGAGCATGTGTGTGCATGCGTCTATGTGCAAATGTGTGTTCATGTGTGTGAGCATGCATGTGTGTTTGTGCATGTGTTTGTGCATGTGTATGAGCGTGTGTGTGCATGCATCTATGTGCAAACATGTGTTTGTGTACGTGTGCAAGCATTTGCATACATGTATGTGCATATGTGTGTGAGCGTGTGTGTGCATGTATGACCATGTGTATGGGCATGTATGTGCATATGTGTGTGTATGTGCGTGTGTGCATGTATGTGTGTGTTTGTGCATGGGTATGAGCATGTGTGTGTACATGTATGTGCATGTGTGTGCGCAAATGTGTGAGCACAGTTGTGTATTTGCATGTGTTTGCCTGTGCATGTGTGCTTGCACGTATGTGCCTGTGTTTACATGTATGTGCCTGTATGAGCATGAGTGTACATGTGTGTGAGCATGTTTGCATGTGTGTGCATTTGTGTATGTTTGTAAATGTATTTGCGTGTGTGTGCATGGAGTTGTTGGCATGTGTGTATTTGCATGTATGTACATATTAGCACGTGTACGTGCATGTTGGCAGCCATCAGCCCGTGTGTGTTCATGTTTGGGTGGGTGTTCACATGTGTATGTTTGTGCTTCATGTGTGTGCACGCACACGTGTGTGTGCGCGGTGCAGGCGTGTCTGCGTGCAGGGACACGCGTGTGCATGCCGGGCACACACACGTGTGCGCGTGCCTGCGTGCCGGGGCCCCGCACCTCCCCCTCGCTCTTTCGCAACGTTACGGGAACACGTGCCAAGCAGCAAGGAATTCCAGGAAAGGTCAGCGCTGCGCACGGCTCCATCCCGGAGCAGGAAAAGAAACAGCAACCAAACGCAGCGATCCCGATGCCGTCCTGCATCTCGCCAGGAAACGGCCGCGTGCTCCCCGGAGCGCCGGGATCCCACCGGAGCGGGGCCTGGATCCCGCCAGAGTGCTGGGAACGGCTGCAGCAAGGCCTATGGAGCTGGGAATCCCGGCACGGTGCCGGCTCTCCTGCCGCTGCTCCCAGGGCTGAGCTCCGTGGCCACCGGAGATAGAGGAAGCTGCACGCTTTATTCAATATATTAAATCTTGGTAATTAAATAATTACAGAAGAGGGCCCTGAACTGGCCGTGCTGGACCCCTGGCCTGGCTGGGGCCGATTCCGGCTGGGACGCTCCGTGGCGGCAGTGAGAGGGTGTCCTGGCTCTTCGGAACGTGCCGGAATGCCTCTGGGAGCACTGGGATGGCTCAGGAATCATCAAAGGGGCCTGGAAAACACCAAAAGGGCCTGGAAAATACCACAGACAGCTTGGAAAACACCAGATACATGTTGGAAAGCAAACCAAATAGCTTGGGGTGGGGAGAACCTTGGAAAATACCAAAATGGCTTGGAAAAAAAAAAAAAACCCAAAGACCTTAGAAAACACCAAAACCCCTTGGAAAATACCAAAATGCCTCGGAAAACACCAAAACACCATGGGAAGCAGCCACGGGCTGGCAGCGGAGGGCAGCACCCTGTAGGAGCTGCCAGGAGGTGTGGAGGGGCCGGTTTTCTGCAGCTGGAATTGCCCATGCGAGTTGCTGTCAGGACGGATGGACGGATTCAGGCCCGGGCAGAGCCCGGCCCGGTGCTGCCTCCGGTGCTGCCCGCGGCCCTGGGGCATCTGTGGGGGAGGGCAGCCCAAGGAGGGTCTATAAACGGGCTGGAAAAGCTGCTTTTTGGTTGGTTTTTTTTTTTTTTTCCTCTGTCAAATGAGCAGGGCTGGGGTGGGGCCCGTCTCAGTCGTCCTGCTTGGGCTTCTCCAGGGACTGGCGGAGCTTCTGGAGCGTCTTCTTGATGCGCAGGGCGGTGAGGCGGGCGGAGGGGCTCTGGTACCAACACTCCTTCATCACCCTCGCCAGGGCTGCCAGGACCTGCGGGGCAGCGGGGACGTGATGGGGACGGGCAGGCCGAGCGGGGACGCGCGGCGCCGTTCCCCCGTTCCGCCATCCCCTCCCCGCGCTCCTGCTGGTCCTGTCTGACGGGTTCAGCCCTTTGCTCCGTCACCAAAGCCCATTTTGCCCCAGCCCGGCGGGCACCGGGCGGCGCCGGGGGACGCACCGCATTGGAGTAGAGGCGGTTGGGCACCACGGGGGTGTGCTGGTCCACGCACACCACCTTCTTCATGTCCTCGAAGCTGGGGTCGCTGGGCACCACGTCGAAGAAGGGCGGCCGGTACTCCTCCACGATACCTGCGGAGCAGAGGAGGAGGAGGAAGGGGGTCATGAGCGCTGCCCCGGCCCATTTCCTGCCTCCTCCGGAGCCCGGGGCCAGCCCAGCTCCATGCACCCGCTCCCGGCACCCAGGGCATCGATCCCAGCTCCAGCACCAGCTCCAGTGGAGCCATTGTGTTTGGGAGCCCCCTCACTGCCCAGGGCATCCGCCTACACCCCCAATATCCCTGTCCTGGGGGGGGTCCGAACCCCGCTAATTCCAGCTTGGTGCATCCATGGGGTCTCACACGAGCCCCAGTGCCCACTCGCGCTGCAGGAGTTAAACGCCCCATCCTGCACCCAGCTAATTTGGAGGCGGGTGTTTAATCCCAGGGCAGCAGATGGGATTATCGCGGCCAGACGGCGCCTTCTGCTCCACCAGGATTCAATTAACGTCTCTAACAGGCTTTGCTGGGGGGGCACGAGACGGAGTTGCTGGCTCAGGATCCCTGCACGGCCCCGCCGTGTCCCACGCACGGATCCATCGTATCCCTGTGCACGGACGCACGGTGGCCACCCACGCGCGCCGGAGGTCCCGGCCGTGGCCGACGTCCAGGCAGCGCTCGCGCTCTAATCAGCACCGAGCGAACCCGCCGCTGATTGAGCTGAAGGGGCCCTTTAATCAGGGCGCCGGGTGCTGACACCAGATTGCAGTGTTTATAATTTGCAGCTAATCTGCCGGGGCGAAGGGAAGGGAGCGCGCGGCGGGGCGGGCGCCGGGCTGCTGCACGCTCCTGCACTCCCGCTGCCTTTCCGCACTCCCATTCCCATTCCCGTGCTCCCATTCTCATTCCCGCGCTCCCGTTCCCATTCCCGGTGCTCACCGTTGATGGCCGTGCGCCGGGCGATCTCCCAGAGCACCAGCCCATAGGCCCAGATGTCCGTCTTCTTGTAGGACTCGAAGCAGTCGGTGCGGATCTGCTCGCTCAGCACCTCGGGGGCCATGTAGCGCTTGGTGCCCACCCGGGGGTTGTTGCCGATGTACAGGTAGTCGCTGCCCTGCGAGTGCATCACGGCCAGCCCTGCGGCCGGGCGCCCCGTCAAGCCGCCGGCCATAGCACGTGGCCGTCCCCAGGCCGTCCCCAGCTCACCAAGGTCGGCGATGCAGCACTGCTGGTTGCTCTTCACCAGGATGTTCCTGCTCTTCAGGTCACGGTGGGCGATGGCCGGCTTGCCCTGCGTGCCAAAGATCTCCACGTGCAGGTGGACGAGGCCGCAGATGATGGAGGAGGCCAGCGCCAGGCAGCCCGCGCTGTCCAGCGCTGTGCGCTGCAGGTAGTCGTAGAGCGAGCCGTTCTCGTGGTAGTGGGTGATGAGCCAGAGCTGCGTGCTGGAGTTCCTCGACGTCATGTCGGAGGCGATGAAGCCTGGAGGGGAGGAGGGCGGGAAGGCATGGAGCCCACAGTCCCCGTCCCTGTGTCCCCATGTCCCCATGTCTCCGTGTCCCTGCGGCGTGGCACTCACCCAGGATGTTGTCGTGCCGCAGCAGCACCGTGTTGTAGATCTCCGTCTCGCGGAACCACGACTGCTCATCCCGCGAAGAGAAGATCTTCACGGCCACGCTCTCGCCGTGCCACAGGCCGCGCCACACCTCGCCATAGCGCCCTTTGCCTGGGGGGGACGACACCCATGGGACACTGGCATCCATCCCCACCGGCACCAGCTCCCACGGGAGTCGCAAGGTGCCCAGCAGCTCCATTGGCCTTGGCCAACGGCGGTGGGTCCCAATGAGCCTCTTGGGTCAGGGGTTGCAGCCATGACTGCTGCAGCCACGGGGGCCTGGCACCGGCAGGAAA